TTTCCTTTCTGATATTTTGTGCTTTTATTTTTGATCTTGCCTTATTGTACTGGCTAGGGCTTCTAGTACAAATTGAATAGAAGTGGTGACGGCACATACATATCCTTGTCATATTCCCAGTTTTATAGGGAACGGGTTCAGTACTCACCACTAGACATGATGGTAATTGTAAACTTTCTGTAAATGCTCTTTACCAGATAGCTTTCTATTCCTAGTTTTTCTGGCAGTAATGTGAATGGGTGTTGAATTATATAATGTGCTTTTCTAGTATGTTGGTTCTTTGAAAACAAATTAATAAAATCTATATCTCCTTTTGTTTATGTTTCTGTGTTTAATTTGCTTTTTTCCTGTGTTCTTAAGATGGAAACCTAGACCATTAATTTTAAATCTTTCATCTTTTTGAATATGTACAGTTCTTTATAAGCATTGCTATCACTCCATCCCACAAATTTTGATATGTTATATCTTGAAGTCTGCTTCGTCTAATAATTACATAGTCATTCTGGCTTTCTTAGGGTTTATAGGGTTATTCTTTGCAAGATATATCTTTTTTCATCCATTTACTTTCTACCTGTCTGTCTGTGTTTTTCTTCACAATTTCTTCATAGTTTCTATGCTTACGTTTCAGCTATATTGCTTTAATTGGTTTTGTTGCTGTTCAGGCGTTTTAATATTCATCCATAATTTATCATAGTCTACTTAGATAAATACTATGCGTCTCTATATCAAATATAAGAATCTTGCAGCGGTAGAATTCCATTCTTCTTCCTGCTCGGTGCTTTGTACTATTGTCTTATGTATAGCATCTGCATACGTTGTACATGCATCAATGCAATGTTGTCATTTTTGCTTTAAGATGTCATATGTACTTATAGTTTTTTAATTTTGAAATAATCCCAAATGTATAGGGAAGTCACAGGTACAATTTTAAAGACTGCTTGTTTCAGGGACCATTTGAGAGTAACTTGCCATCCTGATGCTCTATCACTCCCAAGTACTTTAGGTATTATATATATATACGTACACACCTATGTAGAGAGAAAGCCATTCCCTGTATAATCACAGCATACTATTAAAACTATCATCCAGTCCTCAGACTGCTATCATTTCTATATTACCTTTTATGACAAAAAAAAAAAAAAAAAAAACCCTCTAGTTTAGAATCACTTGTTATGGTTAATTGAAAAACATGTTTCTCTTTCTTCTCTCTCTTTCTCTCTCTCTCTCCTCTTTATAGTCTGGAACAGTTTCTTAGCCTTTCTTTGAATTTTATGACCTTGACACTTGAAAATTATACGTAATTTTATAGATGCTCCTCTGTATCAGACAATTCGGGTTTGTGTGATGTTTCCCGATGACTTAGACTCAGGTTATACATCTTGGGCAAGTTGTGATATTGTGTTCTTCTCATGGCAGCCTGTCAGGTGGCTCATAATTTTAATTTGTTCTGTCACTGATGATGTCCACTTTAATCAGTTACTTAAGGTGGTATATACATGCAGGTTTCTCCAATGTGAACTTAGTCATTTCATTTTTGTAGTTACTGTTTTCTTGGGAGGTGCCTTCACACTATATAAACATCCCACTCTACACCAAATCATTTCTTTGTATCAGAATGGACTCCTGGTTTATTTAGTGGGTTTATCTTTTACTGTCATTCATTTCGATGCTCAGATTTCCCCACATTTTATCTGGGAGTCAGTTAGGGAATATATATGGAGACTCCAAGCATCCCATTTAAAAACAGCTGCTGAAAGCTGTTTTTAACTAACCAAGATTACAGATGTTGCATAGAGCACAGCAAACAGTGGAGGTTATGAGTCAAGTGAACTGTGGGAACTAAAATGAACTCCCTTTAGAGCAGGATAAGGAATACAGCGACACCAATAGAGCACTCTGGAAGGTGTTGGTGTTAGAGTGATTTAAAAAAGCAGAATTTTTTTTTTCTCTCAAGGAGTTGATAATCTAGTGGAAGAGAAAGTAATTAATGAAATAATATAAACATATTTGAAGGAGAAAACTACTTGAAGGAAGAAGAAACAGCAGTGTTAGGATTGATAGCGGTAGGACATGACCTTATCTGATGGGTGCAGGGAAAAAGAGACTTTCCTGAGAAAAAGATGGAGAAACTGAGATCTGAAAGATGGGTGTCCAGTAATTATGAGGTCAAGTAGAAGGACTGACATGTCCAAAGACCTTGTGACAAAATAGAATGTTGAGCTTTTGAGGAATCCAAAGTAGGCCAGTATTGCCAGAGAACAGGAGAGGAGGAGTATGGTATAAGCGTGTCCAGAAATGTAAGCAGTTTCACATCTTGTTGGCTATGTTAGGGGTTTTCTTAGTCATAAGAGCAGGGAAAAACTGTAGAATTATTTTTGTTCATTTGAAAGGGCTCATTTAGTTATAATATGGATAATAGATTAGAAGAGGATCAAGAATGGCATTGGAGGAACTGTTGGGGGTCTATCACAGCAGTCCACGAGAGAGAGGATGTAGCTCTGACCCGGGCCATGGCAGAAGATATAAAGGAAGATGGACATTTTGAGCAGTAATAAGGGGGCAATATGAAAAGGCCATGGGGATGTGTTGGAGTCGATGTGTGAAAGAGAGGGAGATGTCAAGAATGCCTCCTGGGTTACTCTCTTGCCTAATTACATTGGATGTTAGGTTTCGTTTGTTAAAATATGGAATCCTGAAAGAGACCTAGAATTGGGAGTGAGAAATACGAGTTAAGGTTTGAAAACAGTGAATATGACATATGAATGACAGAGCCAAGTGGATATTGAATAGGCAGTCAGATATGTGGAATGGAAATTCAAAGGAGTTCTCTGTGTTGAAGTTATACATTTGGCAACTGGTGTGAGCAGCCAACAGGAGTAACACTGATATCTGCCCTGGACATTTCTTACCTATGGAAAACATACGTCCTACTTAGGCTGCAGTTTAAGGACTTAGACCATCCTCGCCTCCGATTTATGTCAGCCCCAGTCCTACCAAGTACTCTTTCCTCCCACTCTTTCATTACTCCTTACATAGGTGGAGGAGAAAAACACAACTTTTTAAAATTTTAATATTAACATATTAAATATTAAATTGTACATTTTGTCTTCAGAAATTAAAAGCTTATCCATAGCTTAAGGAAGAGCTCCATGTCATAACTCTTAACTTAAAGGGCTTATGATTTAAATTACGGCTGCCAATCATAAATTCACTTTTCATTTTTTGTTAAAGGGACAGCTTACAAAACAAATGAACAATTAAAATAAGATAGCAAATTAAATATTGGCCTAGCTAAGAAGCTGGGCCTGTAAGACACATTCAAGGGTTTGTTTATACACCAGTGATGCAATAATGTAAGCAGAATCTAGTACTCCTAGACTAATGCTTTGGCATGCTGTTTACAAATTAGTCTAATCTGCTCTTTAAACAATGCTCATTTGGGTAATGCCTCCTTAACGTAGTTCCCAGAAACATATATGTAGTAGATTTTCTGTTACAGGACACTGTTATTCTGATTTCCTTATATTTCTATATATTGAGGAATTTTAGGTTTTTGAATTTTCTTCTGAAACAAGCAATTACCATTCAGAATAAGGAGAAAGGTGGGAGAATGAACATCAATTGAATACCGACTTTGTTCCAGATTCTTTGCTACCTGTCATAAATACATTGATTTAAAAAAAATCCTCATAGGCCCCCTAATCCTTTTGTTATTATTACTCTCACTGTTGTATTTTTTTCTAATTTGGTCTTGAGGTCTCTCTCGGGTGAGTGGCTATAAACTAATCCTGCTCTGATGGAGCTACAGGGGATTTGGTCACCGATGTTTGCCTTTCAAAGGATACCTCTTTATCCTAGTGGGTGGCCTAATACCTTCGTGTTCAGCCCATGACCGGGTGTCCCTCTCACAGGAAGCTCATTTGTACTGGCAGGTGCTGTAAGAGAGCCCTGACTGGAAATAAGCTAGGTTCAGGTGTGTTGGCCAGGTGAGACACAGAGGAGGCAACTCAGCAAAACACATGAAATAAGAGAAAGGACAGATCTACGGGAGAAGACGGCAGCTCGTTTCTCAGGGCCAATGGGAAGGGGCAGCCGTCCAGGACACTTGCAATCAACAAGCAGGCAGGGAACAGGAAAGAGTGAGAGTGAGTGAGGGACCTGGGGACCAGAGCCTCAATTAGGATCCAAGCATTACCCAAGCAGGTTTCCCACCAGGAGTCCTAACTGGCAGGTTTAGAGCAAGCCGGGAGTCGCGCTGTGATGGAGAGGTGGTCACTGCACCGTGTCTGTTCAGTTCATGTAGGGGGTGTGGGTTGTCGGGATGAGTCAGGCAGGTTGTATCCAGCTGACTCATAGGAAGTCATCGCCAAGAGGTGATTGTATCAGGCAGATACCTGGATCTGCTCTGTGGAGGAATTGGGAGGAGTTGGACACCTGGAAACCACATCAAGAGTGACTAAGCCCTCCTTCTGGTATGAGAAAGTTAAGCCCATATTCAAAAGGGATGCAAAACAACGTAAAACTATAGAGGTTCACTGTACTCATTTTGCTGAGAGGACACTGAGGTCTCGAGATATCGTAAGACTTAGGAATCAGGCAGCTGGTGAATGGTGGCCCTGGCATTTGAACCTCCATGAGTGATTGAAAAACCAATTTGTATTTCATTAAATCATGGTTTTTTTCTATTATAGCTTTACTTTAAATATTCACGTTTTATCACTTTTTGAAATTAGTAGGCCAGATATGGCTCATATTTAACTCTCTAACAGGAAAATTTACCTTACCAACTCTGCCAATTACCTTACTGTACTAGAAAATACTTCAAAATTTGACTTACTTAAAAAATACAATGCAGACTTACGTTCATTCTTGTAGTTCTTTCCCATAATTACTGTAAAAAAATACAAATATTATTTCCCAATACTTCTTGTCTGATATTCACATGGCATCCAATCATACAGAAAATATTCTAACCCTCTCTTGGTAATGTTCTTTTACAGAAGGAGAACTTGAAGCAGAATGGCTGCAAGATGTGGGTTTATCAACTCTGATCTCAGGTGATGAAGAGGAAGATGGCAAAGCCTTGCTCTCCACATTGACTCGAACCCAGGCAGCTGCCGTGGAAAAGAGATACAACACCTATACCCAAACCATGAGGAAAAAGAACAAGCCATCGATCAGGGATGTCAGAGACATCTTTGCAGTCAGGGAGTCTCCTGTAAGTAAGAGCTCAAACATGGCTCAAAAGGTGCTTGGTTTGATTGGGGATGGGGGTAGGGTGGGGCTGGGGTAGAAAAAATATCAGAAATGTCTGGTCGGGTGGTTCCATTCTAACTTTTTGAGAGAACTAAAGCAGACAGCACAGTGCAAATTTTTACAAGTTTGAACTTAAGTGATCATTATCTCCTATACTGCAGTCTCCCTCAATACTAAACTTATTCCCTTGTTTGTTGAAATCAGAGAGTGACTTCTCTGGCAGTGGAACAAGTCTTTGTGGGTAGAATCCAGGGACCCTTTACTTCAATTTCAGCACTGAATGGAAACTCTGTGGTCGGGCAAAGGAGTCCTAGGGAAGTGGACTTAAGTATTGTACACAAGACCAGGTGGTTTGGTTTGAATGGAGAGTGGGGATGAGAGATCGGGTAGGGTAGCCTTTATGTTCAGATAAATTAAAACGGTCAAAAAATGGAAAATACCGGCATTAATTAAGTGGGCAAGAGAATGATTCAGAAAACCATAAGGGAAACATCCCATGTTTTATGATAAATGGCTGGTTGAAGTTCTAGCTTACCCTTAGCAATTTCATGTCCCCAATTTTACATCTAAGGCTATTACTCATGTTTTCCTATGTCTACCTTTGTTTTACTGCTAGCTTGTCTTAAAGCTTACTTGTTCATTTATTCATTGCATAATTGCAATGTCACATTACAATAACCGCATCACAGATGCGACAGATGCATTATCTGTGCAAGATCCTAGGTTAGGTTCTACGCAGATGGGCTTCTTGAAACATTTTGGATAACTAGTATATAGAAAAAAGGAAATTTGATGTTCAGCTGCAATTAGAGATAAGTTACCTGGGCAAGCTAGTTAATCACTCTGATTGAGGTTTCTTGTCTGATTAATTATAGTATCAATAATGGCATACATTAAAACTTCAGGGGCATTGAGTAGAAATCATGGTGGAAGACAGTCTCCAATTTGAATTATTTAAGGTTGTCTGCAAGTCATATCTTCTTTTAGATAAAGTAATCACATTGGGTAGTTGCCAAGGCAGCTCATATAGGCCCAGTTAACCTTTGCATTTGTGCTAACAGTGTCCTAGAATAGCACTATCCTTTAGAACTTTCTATAGTGACGGAAATGGTCTACTTCTGTCCATTATGGTAGCTCCAGTTACATCTGACTACCAACACTTTAAATGTGGCTAGTGTGAGAAATTGAATTTTTAATTTTCCTTAATCTTAATTGATTTAAATATGAACAGTCACATGTAGCTTGTAGCTTATGTATTGAATAACATAGCTCTAGAATCTTCTGCCATATATAATGATATAACTTATGGTGAGTGCATTTTGAATTCTGAGCTATTTGGACTTTCAACCTAGTGTAAACCTGTGTCTTTCTGGATGGTGGGATTGTCTACAGCTGTAACTGAATAAAGGTGACTTCCACAATGTGAGGCAAGGACATTAGCTACAGGTGTCCTGGCCAAGATGCCTACTATAGTAAAGGGCTGCCTTGCTGGTTTAAATTCCTTGGGCCTGATGTTTTGGTATTTTTCATCTGACCATCCGTATCAGGTGTTCTTATTCAGATATCACTCAGCAGCATCATGGCTTGTGATCACAAACTGGTCTTTATGTCTAGTGGCACTTAGAGTCCTGTATGCTATGACACTGCAGCAGTACCAAGGGATGATTTTATGGGAAATTGGGATAGACTCCATAACAACAACCAAATAAATGAAGGACAAGTAACGTGTCTTGTGGGTTTTGAAAAGGCTGTTATACTTAACAATCTTTTTGAAAGTCTTAGGGACTTTCTACTTGAGAAGCAGTAGTCAAATGCTTTGTTTTAGTTAGATTCACATTCACCAACATAATTTTTTTTTTTTTTTTTTGAGATGGAGTCTCGCTTTGTCGCCCAGGCTGGAGTGCAGTAGTGCAATCTCGGCTCACTGCAAGCTCTGCCTCCTGAGTTCACGCCATTCTCCTGCCTCAGCCTCCTGAGTAACTGGGACTGGAGGTGCCCGCCACCACGCCTGGCTAATTTTGTTTTTGTATTTTTAGTAGAGACGGGGTTTCACCGTGTCAGCCAGGATGGTCTCTATCTCCTGACCTCGTGATCCACCCGTCTCGGCCTCCCAAACTGCTGGGATTACAGGCGTGAGCCACCGCGCCCGGCCATAATTTTTTTAGATTAAGAGTTAGTTTAAGTGTCTAAGTCAGCCTCCCCCTTTACGTTTTATTTGGTGTTTGAAGAAAGGAAAGAGGAAAGCAAATATAAATTGTACTATTTGTACTAAATCTTTGGGATTTATTGACAAATTTGTTTCAGGATGGTGTATTAGAAAAAGGAAAACTTTGTTTCCTAGGCCGAAGTTCTAACTGATGAATACCTTTCACCTACAATGACCATTCATGTTCATTTGACTTATGATGTACATTTGACTTGTGATAATAATTCATGTTCATTTGAAATTCATCTTTCAAATGAATTTTCTTTCAAAATACATGAAGAGCAGCTCTCCTTCTTTCCACTTTTAAGCATTCAGGTATGGCAAGCTCAGATGTTCTGCTGGGTTCTAGCTGGAGCACTGGGATACCCTTCTGTTCTGGTGGTTTCTTTCTTCCTTTCTTGTATCCACCAAAGTGGATCCCAAAGATATACAGTACCTAGTAGATTCCAGCTGGTGGGAGACTAGAAAAATTGCAAGTGGGTGATTTGCTATTACTGTAAATAAAAAGAGGGCCTGAGCCTGGAAATTCTTCTGAAAACAAAAAATTCCCTTGATTATTTTTCACTTGTCTCCAGGATCATCTTGAGAGGATCCTAAAATCTTTGCATCCATGCTGTCTTTCTCACTTCTATTTCCAGATACTTCAGACTTTGAATTTTGCTTTTCCCTAGGAAACTGTGAAATTAAAAAGGGTTTCTAGGCTCTTCCCAAATCCTCCATTTACTCAGTGCATTACTAGAGAATGCATAACTATTCTCTTCAGATTTCCTAAGACTTTGGACTTCTAGTAATGGAAAAACAGCAAGATAAAGGGTATTTTTTGTGTACCTTCTTCTTTCATTTAGACCCCAAAGGGAAAGATAAAGTACTCAGTTCCTCAAAATGAAATGTCTTTTGCTTCACTGAGACAGGCAAATGGAATAAACTGGTGTCTAACTCCTGGAAAGACCAAAGGAGGGCCTAACAGGGTGCTTTTGTGGTGAGGATTCTAGGCTCTTCCCAAATCCTCCATTTACTCAGTGCACATTTTCAGAGAATGCATAACTATTCCCTTCAGATTTCCTAAGACTTTGGACTTCTAGTAATGGAAAAACAGCAAGATAAAGGGTATTTTTGTGTACCTTCTTTTCACGACCCCAAAGGGAAAGATAAAGCACTCAGTTCCTCAAATGAAATGTCTTTGCTTCACTGAGACAGGCAAATGGAATAAACTGGTGTCTAACTCCTGGAAAGACCAAAGGAGGGCCTAACAGGGTGCTTTTGTGGTGAGGAGTGAGGGAATGGCCTAGGTTCTTGTTTATGTCTGCCTTCTCCCTCTCTTTCCTTCAGTCCTGTTGCTGAAGCTCAGTTCTAGAGAGAATTGAGAATGGGGACTAAGGAAGTGGGTGGGCACAGGAGAAAGAAAGACTATATATTCTAGGGAGTCAAAAGGTCTTGTGCTATCTTGGAAAATAGGGCAGTCAGTGAAATGAAATCAGTGTTAAGTTTGGCATTGTCTAAGATGCTTAAAAAATTCAGATTGTTCCTTGTCAGAGATGTAAAAAGCTATATAAACCTAGCTTTTAAAAAAATATTTATAATATATAAGGCCTAAGAAACATCTTCACAGATTTTTTTTCCTAAAAAATTCAGCATCTGTTTTTGCAAGAAATTTGGAAGCTTCTAGAGAATGTACCTAAACTTTTTCAGTTTTCTATTTGAATTTGACAACATAAACACCAATTCCTCTGTTCCTCCTCCTGTCCTGTGTCTCTGGGGTCCATCGCTTTCTCTCTCTCTCTCTCTCTCTCTCTCTCTCTCTCTTTCTCTCTCTTTCTCTCTCTCTCTCTCTCTCTCTCTCCCCCTTCTCTCTTTCCCCCTGCCCCCACCAATTGTGTGTCCCCCTGCCTATCCCTTCGTTTCCCCCCATCCCTTCTTATTCTTTATTTGGCATCATTTACCTACATTAATTGAATAATTACCGAAGATTTTCCATTTCACTTTCTTAGTGAAGTCTTATAATCAGTTTCATAAGGAGATTTTGCATTAATCTTAGATGTATAAATTTGACCCAATATACTTATCTAGTAAGGATATAAATACAAGTAAAATAGATAAGTATAAGATAAATACTTATATCTTTATATTGTATAAAATACTTATAAAGATTTATATTGTATAAAATACTTACAAAGACACAAGTATTTATCTTATACTTATCTATAAATTCAGTAATTTAGAAAATAGATATGTGGATTATATGGTTCTTCTCTTAATTGTTTTCGTATATAGAATCCCATGCTCATGTTCTCACTCATAGGTGGGAACTGAACAATGAGATCACTTGGACTCGGGAAGGGGAACATCACACACCGGGGCCTATCATGGGGAGGGGGGAGGGGGAGGGATTGCATTGGGAGTTATACCTGATGTAAATGACGAGTTGATGGGTGCAGCACACCAACATGGCACAAGTATACATATGTAACAAACCTGCACGTTATGCACATGTACCCTAGAACTTAAAGTATAATAATAATAATAATTTAAAAAAAAAAAAAAAGAATCCCATGCTCAAAATCACTTGGCTTCAGAGTTTGTAAGATATGGGTCCATTATCTTTTCTTATGTACCATTGCTGTGGGGAAGTACAACGTCTGCATCAATCCTATTCCTTTACATAACAGATGGGAAAGCCTTTGAATTTTATTTTTATTGCTGGAAACTTGAAATTTCACCAACTTTATCTTTTTAAAAAATTCATCCTGGTCAGTACT